GCTATAGCCAATGGGCTAGTGTTGTTTGCACCGGGACCACTGTATGGAACTCTTTCTACGGGAATATTCCTCTGAAGCCAGGAGATACTGTTCTCTGCCTTGGTAAGTCATCCGGAATCTGTGGTAGAATAGAGATCTAACTGGAAGTGATAGGTACTGGGGGGGTGTCTGTCACTGGTCTCGTTCTGGCAAAGGCTGCTGGTGCCACTACTATTATCACATCTTCTTCGGAGGGGAAGCTACAGTATATTCAGCAAAAGTACGGAGCTGATTATACCATCAACTACAAGACCACTCCCAAATGGGCAGAAGAGGTGCAGAAGATAACCAACGGCAACGGTGTAGATTACATCCTTGAAAACGGTGGCTCTGGGACTATCAAGCAGTCCTTAGAAGCTGTTGCCTACGGTGGTAATATTGCAGTTATAGGCTTTCTTTCACCTTCTCTCCAGCATACCATGCCGGATGTAGCCGGTCTTGCATTGGCAAAAGGAGTAATTGTTCGTGGTATCATGGTTGGTTCTAAGGAGCTGCTTGAGGATGCTGTTCGATTCATCGGAGCTCGTAATATACCTGTCCCTGTTGAGAAGACTTTCAAGTTCGGCCGGGACCAAGTGGTTGATGCATACGCATACCTTGCGAGTAGACAGCATACAGGAAAAGTCTGTATCGACTTTTATTAGCAAGCCTTGAAGTTTTCCATTTGCTTTTATTTAGTAGGGTGAAACGATACGTCTATAAATCCGTAACATAATATTTACGAATTTACAACTAAAGTCAGTCACAGCCCCTAGGCGCGCCCCATTCAGATGTTCTACTGTAGTATACAGGGCTATAAATTTACGCACTATCCGACTTGATAGAATTACTCATTTTTATATCGGTCTTAAATTCATGCTTTTTTGACTATTCTAAATTTCTATATGGCGACGCGTTGGGCCACTGGTTCACCGAGTACGTCAACTACGATATCAGTAAGATCATATAAACCGGTTAGAAAGAAGAAGCAAGCAGCACAAAAGGATCGCGGAGGCGAAACGACTATATATCAACTCAGCTAACCAGAAGGATGTATTAATTCCCTAACTACATCAAGCTTTTATTTTCCAGTGAATCTAGGAAGATCGTCAACGAGGTTCCATATTGGGTGCTGTCTTGAAGCGGAAGTGACAACCTACGGCTTGCCCAATCTGCCAAGGGAAACATGCAAAGATCATTATATGATCCTTTTCTTTACTTCTTTTTTTCAGGTTTCTGACAACTAATAGTGCACCGATACAGCTATTTATCAAGGAAGTACAGCCTCAGGTTCTGGGTGTGTATTTGATTCCTCGAATGACAAACGCCGCAAAGAACATTGGTAGAAGTACAAAGATGCATCAGATACCTAACAAATTCTTTTACAGTTAATCCGCGTTCTGTATGAAGGCATCAATGAAAATGTCAAGAAACTCCGAGGAAATATACAAGGTATTCCCTCACCTCAGGAGGCCATGATAAAGTTGCGATCACTCTTCCTATAGCGATTATCTTTTGAGCTTGTTCGCCTGGTAAGGTCTGTATTAAGCTCACTGGTCCACTGTTAGCCTAGTCTTAATTTGACCCGAAAAAAGGCTACAGAAGGCTTGTAGAACCACTTTCAAAAGGCGCCAGATCACAAATTGATATTTAGTTTGAGGAATTTAATAGCCCTACGGGTACGGACGTCATGGTGGTTGCTGTCTTCTACTTTTACCCCACTTTCTTCTGCGATACATACGCTGCCACAGCTATAGCGATTCAGTTTTACATAGTACTATTGCGATTCAGAAGCAAATTAGGACCTTGTTAAGGTCTATGCTAGCCCTCTTGCCCTAGCATTCTATTTTCGGCCCTACGTCACAGTGGCAGAGGGCAGATCTGCATCTGTCTTGTCTTACATCATACTTAACACGTGAGTAGGACCTGCTCATTGAATTGGAAACACCGCACCTCTTGCCGCATATGAACGCTGTAGATCTAGAATGATCATGTTGTGGTACAATACTAGACGGCGACATCCGGCAATTATCATCGCCTCTGGGACGACGAGAGATGTTAATGGAGCAGTAGAGGCTGTGGTCCATGTATTAATTGACTACCCGCGGCTAGTAAGGCTGCGACAGGAGCCACGACGCAAGATTGGAAGAGCATTTAGCAACATTTCAGATATGATAGGACGAGCAAGACAACGTAAAGAAGGTAGGTTAAACGATGCCCCGCAGGACTATAGCGCCTTAGGCACAATACTAGACTTTGCAGAGGCATTGCAGAGGTTTCAGAGCCGCGCGCTACAGGGCCGCTAAACGGAGCACCAGGCATATAAGCCACCACAGACGGTGACGAGGCTCCAAGTTCATTCGAAAGCAATGGTGTATTGTACATAAACATATATGAGGACTAGATAACGTTACCCTGCATATCGCCTAGGCGAGAGGTAAGTGTTACCATACCACCACTGAAGGTCCCAATAACACGACTGATAATATTGGAGTCTTTCAATATCCATACAGACATATATCTAAGTCTCAGTGGACTTTTCTGCTTCCCGTTTGGTGCCGCTCATAGAGGAAGATGAAAGAAAAGTAGTTCTCAATTTGGGTGGTGTTCGTTATTAATTGCCTGGGCTCGGCTTATTCTGTAAGGGTACGGGAATCGGATGGCGGAGTAAGAGTTTGAGCCGACTAATCTGACTATGAGCATAACAGAAGGTACCAAAAAGGCATTTTCTTTCTTTTTTTTTTAAAAAAAAAAAAAAAAAAATGGAAAGAAAGAAATCCATAGAGAGAGACATGGAGACATACAGAAACACCAATAGAGATATTTACTGATGAGGGGAGCCCAGATGGCCACGGCGATAATTTGCCCGAAACTCCACGAGCTGAATGCGATCGTTGGAAGACTGAGTGCTACAATTCCGAAAATGTAAAAGAAGTTGGAGGATAGAAGGATAATTTCAATGATCGCAGTTAGTGTTCTGGAAACGAACCTGGCTCTTTTGGATACTAGCCACGGATACGCTCGGTGGTAAGTAGCTTGAAACGATGGCTTTCGGTTGAGCCACCTCTTGGGATAGAGGGCGAGACGTTGCAAGGCGAGGATCCCATATATCCCAATACATACAAAATTCAGGATATCATCTGTGACCCCAAAGAATATAAGGGTCATAGCGCTGAAGTAATAATCGGAATGTGACCGGCAATATATAAGGGGAGGAGGGTGATAGCCACATTTGTCTAGATGACTGGCGGTTGCAATACTCTGCAAATTGGCCACTCTAGGCTCCATCTTACATAGATGGAGAGTGACACTAGACACCACTATCGTTATAGCGGACCATAGAGAAATATACCACGAATGTAAGTCAACCCTGTGTAGAATCCATAGGCCATGTGTAATCGGAAGCACACCCATTAACGCCACAGCCTTAACCGTGGAGGTGTTCGATGTAAGCTGCGCCAAACTAGTTGCTTCATAGAGCTGCGGGCCAGCCACAAGAGCGGTCAGGGCAGCAAACTGAAAGGACAGCATGTAGAAGCATTGAGCCTCCTGAAACTCCACTAACGTGAACGTAAGGGCGGAGAAGTGGCGGTGTCGTATGCATCGTGTGACTCCCGGAAAGAATTTTAGTATGAGTACAGCGAAATGGATAAAGGCAAGGATGCCAGATTGCATCGCCAATGAGAGCAACACCTGCGATTCGCGCGAAAAGATAAATATTAGTAAGTCATGCAGTCAAGATACAGAACCTTCTAGGCAGATTCACCCCTACACCACTAATATCTCGATTTGCGTTAACGTTGATACTACGACAGGTCACAGTTTCGAATTCTGGTTCGGGGTGGGCGAACAGGCGATAAAACTCGTCCGGAGGGTACCCCTCTGAACTGCATCCCTTCAACTGTGGATCTGGCATTTGACAGTACTGATCAAGGCACCTCCCGATAAGGGCCCCCAAAGTACTGTTGACATGCAGATAGTAGCGTTCTGAGGATGGACCAGAGTTATCTGTGCGCTCCCGAAGACCAACGATACTAAAGCACCTAGCCAAGGTATTGAACGATTCGAATACCTCAGATGGGTCCATGCAGAAAGTGGCCGTTAGGTCAGATAGATCCCTTGCCATAATCGGTTAAACGAGGAAGTGGCACGTATTGGAGATCCATGGGTTGTTAGCTTTGCAAAGAGCAGAACCAGTAATTGCCAGAGATCAAATATTTATGTTGTTGTGCCTTTTGTGGGACCCCTGAGACCAGACTTATGTTATTAATAATCCTCAAACATTGCTGATTCTTTGTTAATCCAATCAATGGGAAAGGAAGCAATGAGACATCCGTTAAGTGGAGTACCACTTTATCTGTTAGGTGGGTCGTGTTTGAATAAGTCCTACATTCGTTAATTGGTTATTTGACTGGCGTAGCTGAGCTAATCATCCCCTTTAGGATAACCACATGAAACCTACAAAACCGGTTCGAGAAGTTCGCATAAACCAATCATATATTTATAATGTCAAAGTGTCTTTTAAAGAGCCAATTGGCTTCCTGCTCTTTGTCCCTCGAAATTATATTTTATTAAGGAACTTCTGTCTTGGGTTCTTCGGTTCTTTATAGCTCTAAAAAAAAGACTATCTTTGGCCCAGAATACTATCGGCAATATTATCGAGATCTGGAAAACACAGGCGTTTTTCGGAAACGATATACTGAAGTAAGGAAGAACAATATCAAAGGTGTCAAGGATAAGTAGACGAAGTGAGAATTTATTCCCTGTACTAGAATAAGCTCGTAGGATGCTTGCAGTGGATTGGCATGATGTACTGCGACTTTCTCAGGGAATACTGGCTAAAATTCATTGCTGCAGCCTGGAAAAAAGATGCCATGAGCTTTTTTAAAATCGATACTTAATGATATGTAATAAAAAAAGTTCAGCAGTTCACATGAAAACTGGAGGTAATGGTGCCAAGTGTGTTGCCAAGCTATTGACCGCAGTCTTCACGCCAAATGCCATAGTGACATTAATGACGTAAGTTCTATCAATGTCTCTCCCTGCTCTGTTCACTAACTACTGGCCAGTACATGACCGGCGCCCTGGTGCCCTTATATAAACTAGGCTTGTCTGCCGGAGACAAACGCGTTATGAATGTCGATGACTTGTACCTGGTGCTTCATCATCACTGGGTACTAGACAGCATGCCATATCCTGATGGCAGGCAGATTTACTCAGTTGGTCCGGCAAACTCTTAGCTCACCGCTCATACACTGACGCAGTAAAAGGTTCAACAGCCCCTCGTGGAACGTTTAGCTCTGATAAGTTAGATCAAAAGCGGGCATCTGACCAAGTGCTCTACTATAACAATTCATCTAAAAGAGCAGATAGTTTAAGTTATGATCTTGGGTTTGCAATAGGTAGTGTGGTGGGGCGTAGGCGAAGCAAAACATTTTAGGGGCTGCGCGAAAGGATCTGGGTTCTGATTGGTTTCCAATCCACAACTTAACTACTCCATTTCCTACTTTCTCTTATAATCTATCTGTATAAGTAACTAGTTATTTTGATTGGTCCATAGGTTTATACAACTATAACTATATGCAAGTTTCAACAACAACGCTATATATACGACCAACAATATATAGTTTAAATGATAAGTTAAGTATAGATAGAACACTAAGACCGATATATCTCAATATATATTATGCATACAGTCTATTATAAGGAAATAGTCAAGTTATACCGAATCCTGCGTCGGCCTAAGACTTATTTAGTTCAAACTAGTAAGCCAATCGCCGTCGGGTGTGTATATATATCCTAGCCAATAATGATATTAGTCCAATCTTTTCAGACTCCTATGTCTCATTTCCGGTTTCACTGTAGTTCAGATATACCCCAGTGTTTTCTAACTTTATTCCCTTTAGTGTTATGGTCCCTTTCTTCTCGCCTTTCGCATGGGTTGGTCTTGCCCTTCCGCCACGTAGAAATCCAACAACCATCATAGTGGAACGTCGCACAAACACTATACGCGTGGCCTCGCTGTCGTCAAAGGCAAGAGCTGAGGATCTGGGTCCAGTATGAAGTGTGTCTAACCAATCATGATTAGTTAGGAAATAGCGGCTCTCACTGAGGATCGCTGCGGATTGCTGTGGAGGGTTGCTTGTGGGATTGCCCCACCTGCTCCAGGAAACATTCCACTGTGCCTTTTCTTAACCACCCATCCCTGTGTCCATTTTAGATTAGCGCTTTCAGTTGGCTTTACTGCCCCGTCAATTCTCGCTCCAAAGGGCATGCTCGTTAAAATGTAAGCTGCGCGAATACCGATTTTGAAAACTGTTATTCATGTAAACAACTTGCGGAAGTACAATCTGTGCAACATTCTTCGCTCTTAGTAACAGGTAGCTCTGTGGCATAGTGGCAAGGCGATCCAGAGAATTGGGTCGCAATTGTACATTGTAAAAAGTTGTAGACATACTTAAATCTGGGCATTATCTCGGTACATGAACTCGTATGTATATAAACGAAGTGAAAGAAGCTAAAGGACGTCTAAACAGACTCCATACTACCCTGACCCAACATGGTCTTTTTTTCCCCCGCTTCCGGTTATTCGAAATAGAAGATCAGTCCTGGTGTCCTGACTCGATGGATAATTTCATCGAAAACTATCACTGCACCCTGGAATCTTCGCATCCCCGCTGTGAGACATACTGCCCCCAAGGTCGCCAGAAGTATTATCCGTGAGAACCTCCCCAACGCTTTTCTATATACTTTTGTCAATCCCTGTGCCGGTGCTGGAGGTTGACTCGAAACTTTGATAAGAAGATACTCTCACTCATTCTATTCTGCTAGTCGTAAAGACATGTTTGATCTGCTACTGCACGCCCAATCTGCAGAATTATTCTACTATCTCATACTATCTGCATCTCGAATGACGCTATTTAGTATTTGTATAATTTTGATAAAGAACAGCCAGTGGAATGGAACAAGATCACTAAATGGGAGAGGAAGGAGGGAGCTATGATATGCTGCATCGCGCGTATATGTGGCGAAAACCCCTTTCAGCGGGGCTATATTCAGTTGTGGGGTAGGGCGACCGTTGAAAGAGTGACTGGTACGCTTATTGATATCTAAGAGGAAACTCCACAAACCAATAAGGTTTGCGTTCCAAATATGCCCGAGGCTGATGAGAGTCTGCATGCCAGGGTCTAGTTATTATTTCCCGATAGTGAACGTTTATCAGAGAGGAAATTAGGTTCAGTGCCATGATGCAATAGTTAGGTCATACCCACATGATTTGAGACCAGAGCCCCTACGAAATATGTGACTATAAATTCTGCTGGTTTCACATAATAGCTCTCTAACATTCCATGACATTATATGCCTTCAATGATTAAGGGAAGGTATATTGTACCAAGACACACGCAACCAGTCAACTTGGATCCTCTGCGTATCCAGTCTCCACTTTAATATTAACGTTCTGCGTCGAGATGTCTCGCAGCATACCTCTTATGTTACGAATTGGAGCAGTTATGACACCTATTATTGTCAGCGAGAACCTTTCTTACAAAGAACTTTTTGAAATTATCAGCAGACATGTCGGTACAGAGGAAGACTCATACAAACAAAGTCTCGAAGGATTTTCAGTCCTCTGGGAACGTGCCAGCCCATCTAGTCCATTCCCTGAGAGGACCCTCGTTAGTGAAGAAAACTTACAGGCTACTTTGGAGCTTATGACTCTGAGGCTTGGAAGGGATGTTTTGGAAGCTGACCGCAAATTGGAGCATACATCATCTTCCGGGGTGTTTGGGTAATGTCCTATCTTTGCGAATTCAATTGGGTATAGCGAGTCCATATTCAATGAAACATGGTCCTTGTTTTGAGTACCTCTACCAATTCTAGGCGATCAAGTTGTTTAATCTTTCGTTGGACTTTTTAGTCCACTGGAAGTCTAAGCGGTCGGAGAAGATGATAATCTGAATTAGCCAATTTTTCGGATATATGCTACAGAAAATGGTGGCACACCGTGCCATTTTCCGAGCGTTGGAAACCAGAGATATGAACGCTTGTGCTAAAATAATTTTGTAATGCAACGGCATTGATCATGTCCTAGAGAAAATAATAGGCTTCCCTGCTACCTTCAAAATGGGCTACCAAGTCTTTTGTGAGCTTTTTGGTGAAAGTTAAAGAGTCTGATTCATACTGAAGTGCTTTTTCTGGTTTCTACATCTCCTTCTTCCCACTATCGATTTGCTGATGCAAGGGACTATCTATCATTTCCGGAGTTGGGCTTTTATTGCCACCCAATTCCCTGTTGGCATCTTTGTTGGCATTACTTGTGTTGGGAACCGGAGCATAAGGACGCGAAATGCTCTCACGTATAGGATGGGCTGCGCCAGTTTGAATTGCACCGTTATCCGTCACAATGTCAGCTGCAGAGAGAGCTAAATCACCCGAGTCAAAGTATCTCCGTTCCTATTGCTCATCAGTAAATAGTATGGGCCAGTGTCTTGTAAACATGCCTTAGACTGCTGTCCGAGTAATCCTCCTCTATAAGGCAGCCTTCCATAAATGCGGAGGCACCGTTTCTCATTCTCGGAGAGAGCCTGGCAATATATTAGCTCAGAGTGTCATATATTACGATGACGACGAGAGATTTCTTCCAACCTGGGAATCGGACTTTTTGTCCCGTCCAGATTCCATTGTAAAATGCAGGGAACATATGTAGTTAATTGTTTGAGAACGAAGAACAGCGCATTGAGGAAATTGCACTTTATGAATTGCCACCAATATACCTTGACAGAGATTGCTCGATGGATTACACTAGGACAGACGAATCTCCACGTCATCGCCTTGTTTCACTTCCATGGATGAACCCTTTTGAGCTCAAAACGGAGAGTCACGTGTTAAACCTTAGAGGTTGCCATGATATAGATCATAGTCGATTCCGCAGTCCTTGTCCCATTCCTTCTCTGAAAAAAGCTTGCAAACAGAAAAGTCTTTCCTCACGAGATACATCGACAAGCTAATTGGGAAGGCGAAGGAATTTCTGAATCGACAATCCTTTGGTGGCCTAGAGAATTCCCAGTACCGTTATTTGTTGTCAAAGATCTTCGATTTGTATTATAGTTACCCCGTTCCTCAGGGTACAGGACCCATACCCATGAATCCCTAAGGCCCTATTCATCTTTGCGCTCAAGAACCTCTTGGCAGCTTGACAGAGATGAGTTGAATACCCCAAGAGTATTCCAGTAGATATTAGGTAACCCTCTGCACATGA